CACAAAAAGACCTTGTGCAGAATTTTTCTTGTTTGAAACTAGTGTTACTTTTCTCTGTTAAAAAGAGCTAATTTATTTTAGCTTATTTTTTCACCCATGCATAGCAATGAAGCAGATTTTGCCTTAAGTGACGAAATTGACTGCTAAAAGGATTCTATCAGTCGTCACATCTACGATTAGTATACGATTAGAGTGAAAAGGTGACGAACGAAAAAGTGTCCGAAAAAGAAAATGCGTTTTCTTACTTATCTGCTAATGAATATAGTTCCATGCTCCATGAATGAATCAATAGCCAAACAAATAATAGTACAGACGGCGAGTTAATTCAAAGCACGTACAATTACTATTTATCTATTGAAAAGTGGCAGTTAAGGATACGTTAATATGCATGTAAACTGGTAGTTTCGCATTCATGCATGGTCAAGTCCCATTGCTCAAAATGTATCTCTTGAAGGCAGCCATTCTTGTTTGGATGACTAAAATAGGTGAGGTTTTGTGTGTTTTAATAGCTATTCGTATTTTTCACAAACACAAGCTAACACAGGTACAATAAAAGGCACCTGTCCCTCTTTCGAAATCCGCACAATATCAGTCTGTCAGTCACATTTTTCATTGTACATGGGCAACGAGCTATGAGACATTTTCTCCAAAAGCAAGTTAGGCAATAATGTTCTCTACGAAATAATTCCCTTGTAACTACACTTACCCTTCATAATAAATCTAGCAGCGGAAGAGTGCTAGTTATTATAAGCTTGTTCTCGATCTAGATCTGTTTCGATGCTCGCATCGAAATGTTTCCATTTTCTTGATAACAAGAGAGGTATGAAACTAAACGCTTTAGTCCGTGGAGAAAAACTAAACGAATTTTTAATCTTTAAAGAAGATTGTAAATTATTTAGTGCCCAAACACAGGCTATAACGAACCGTTCCTTCCGACCAAACTAACCAGGCTGGGAAATTCACAAAGTAGAGCAAACGCAAAACTGATCTTTACATAGTATGATAATAATAAAAGGAAGTACTTTCGCTTAACAAAATCGGTGAAAATTGGTCTCATGTTATTCTGGTCTCGATGAAAATATATTGCTGTGAGCTCTTCAATTTTATCAACCAAGAAATGGATTTTTGTTATGATAAACTAATCTACGAAATTACTATTTGTGTTGCTTCCGTTCATTTTTAATAAGCAGACGCATAGAGCTAAAAAATCGACCATGAACTGTCAATGTAATTGAACTTAGGCCCTAAAAGGGCTTAAAGCAATCAGTTTTCATTGCCAATACATGTAACTGTTACGCTCCCCGCAATTATAAGGAACTTCATTTTCCTCAATTACCCAGTCGAAAAGAAACGCCCAATTTCATTTTGTTAACGCTCAGTTGAAAATTGGTTCTCTGGTCGGTAAATAAGTAGCTGACGATGAATAAATTACAGCAACACAATGAGGGAACACCTGCCAAGCGATACATCAGCCATGTACAAGCTGCAACAATCCTGTGGTTTCGCATTCAAAAATGCTTGTTTGTAGGTGATTAACCCCAAATATTAATCACCGTAAGTCTCTCCCGTTTTAGAAGGAAAAAGACAAAGTACTGGTAAGGTAAGGTAAGGTAAGGTAAGGTAATCTTTATTTATGCACGATGTTACTAATTCATCAGGCATGAAATATTATAAAAATTTAACCTTTTTAACCTTAATTACGTTTACTGGGTTCCGCTAAATACAGTATTAAAATTATTCAAGTACATACGAAAAAAAAAAGCCTCTTTTCCATAAATGCCGTGCCTTGCTTGATATTATAATAACTGTGCAAAAGTGACTTAAAATTACGTAGGGATTCTGCTTGCCTTAATGTTTCAGGAAGACTATTCGATTCCACAGAACAGCACGACTGTAGCGAAAACTATTACGGAGAAAATCAAAGTTTTGAATATCAATACAACTTATATCAAATATCAAACTTAATATATTTTCTCATAGTCCAGATAAGCGGTTTTGGATTGAGTTTTAAGTTAAAACTCGGGGAAAAAAACCTATTTATTTTCAATTCGGTTTTTAAAAGTGCCTTTAAGAATTCGTTAAAAGTGTGACTGATACATTTGTGCCCCAAATGCCTTCTCCCGACATGTTCTGTATCAAAACAAGTTAAGCTTTTCAGGAATTTACGAAGGTGGAGGATACTTCCAAAGACAGGAATTGCCGTTTTTGTAATAAATGGAAATATTTTGTCTTTTCGGCTCAGGATCATTAACTTTAAGGCGATGTGGCCAAATTATGTAAGAAAAGCACAAGCTTGAATCGAACTAATCTGTCATATCCTTACTCGAATTCAGAATGTTGCAGGATCAAAGAGTTTTTCCCGCCGATCGCGGGAAGAATTTTGCGAGGTCACGTGATCAAGACATTGTATGTGCCACAAGAAGATAACTGCGAAATCCATTGCTACTTAGACAAACTCTGTCAGTCAATAAATATCAGTCCACAGCTTGACAATGGTAAATGGATGTGTGAATTGAACGACGTTGCAGTGGGCCCAGAAAGCTTAATAGAAGCAGAGAAACATAAGTACTATGGCACCAAGGTGACTAATTTGTCAGAAATAAACGTCACTTGCAACAAATTTGAGAACGTATACTAATTTTTATGTGCCTTTTCTTCGGCGACAGAATCCATGCAGCAGTTATCCATGTGTAAAGAACGCAACCTGCAGACCAAACTTTCAAGTTGATAACAGTTTTCAGTGCATTTGTCCAAAAGGATATACTGGAGAGATGTGCGATAAAGGTACTTGTGCATTATTGTACTTAATTGAAATGAGATAGGAAACTTCATCATTAATGTAGGGCGTTACCTTGCTAAAGGATATCCTTAAGAAAAAGTATAATTAGTCATGATTAGTTAACCTAACCTCTCCGAGATAAAATCGCCAAACAGAAGGAGGAAGAATTTTGATCATCACGACATGCAAAGCGTGGAACAGTTTACCATTGTCTATAAGACGAAGAGACTCGCTTAATTCTTTCAAATAAGCATTGTGGAGTGAATTTTTTACTCAACAGCAGTCTCTTGGCCATTTTCTTATTTAAGTTTGTTCGATAAGTTCAGACTAGATTATACAGCTATATCTTATTTTATATAGCTTAGTATTATCTAATTAATTGTTTATCTCGTGAAGAGGGCCACAACTTTATTTGCTCTGGCTATTTAGTGTCAACCTTCCTTGAGTAAAGTCTTTATCTTATCTTATCTTATCTTATCTTATCTTATCTTATCTTACAATAAATTTGAAGTGAAACTATCTCATTAGGCTTGGTAGAAAGTAGGCAAAGCTTGGCGAGAGTGACCTATATCCAGGCCAGCCGACCCAAGGCCTTCTCGGGTTTGGTCAAACGGAGGCCCTGCTGTCAGCTGCGGTGACCCCTTCTCAAACCACTCAGGGGCAGCGGAGGAAGAGAGGACACTTACAAAATAAGTTCCTATATTTCCAATTCGTATCTGAAAATAATGCTAATTTGCAATAGGAAATCCAAATTAGTAGGCGGGAAGATAAATTCTATCTATTTATGAAATCCACATTGAGTCTTCAGTCGCCTGAGGTCCAGGTAAGTACACAGGAAGCCCAGCGATCTCCAGGTTTTAAAATTTGTCACTACCACTAGACTACAAATGTGCAGTAAGTATAATCTACTTTTTATTCAGTATGGAAGACAAATTTTATCGATTTAGTTCGACAATAACATGTTAATCTTTTTCATCTTTACGGGTACTGAAAAACACAATCTTTTCAGGCTGTGCTATACTGTCATGTCATTTAAGGTCAGGCAAAGTTAATCCCTTTTCCTCACTTTTGTTTGTAAGATGTCGATGAATGCGCCACTGGTGCTCACAACTGCTCGCATGACGCATCCTGTATTAATACTGATGGCTCTTTTGTCTGTTTCTCTGAGTTTGGATGTAAAGTTGATGGTGCTACCCAACTTATTAGTGAGTTGATACAAACGATTTCTGTGACCAGCTTGATATGTTACAGGTATTTGTGAATTTCTGAAGAACTAACAGGAAAGAAAAAGCTCTAAAGAAAATGACAACTTTTCTTAATGTAAAGATGTCTGTAGAAGACCACATCAAGTAGATTAGACAAACCTACATCGCTAATTCTACAAGTCAAATTATATTATTATCAGTTCTTGGTATGATATCACGGAAGAAGAACATTAAGCAACTCACAGATGATTACTTCTACTGTTCTATTTACAGAATTTAAAGGCTACAATCATTCTTGTGCAGCGAATTCATGTGCAGACGTCTTGATCAATACACCGTAAGGCAACCCTTCTTTCCACTCAAATTTCAGCTGTACTGAGTTAAAAATAGTCCAATCGTATATGGATATTATGAGACAGGTGGAAAGTTTGGAGAGCGGGAAGGGTATAAATCTAAAGTGCGCGGATTGGTTCAGAAACAATAAACAAACAAAGTTAACAATGAAACCTACCCCGAAAACAGAAAGAGCTGCAACCCATAGGGGTCTAATTAAATTAGAGGTTCTGAGGGGTTGCGAGGGCCGAACTCTAACCTGATCGGTGTGTTGCAAACTAATGGGGTATTTCGGAATTTCTTTCAGAACTAGGCACACCTTGTTTTTTCTTCGCACTGAAAAAGGTAAACTCATTGTACACTTTTTCCGTTTCAGTGGATCTAAAAGTGGAGCATACTACCTTAAAACCAAGGAGCCACAGGCAGCATTAACATACTGCCACATGGTAGAAATTTCCGGATGCGGAGGTGGCGGATGGACTTTAGTCATGAAAATCGATGGAGCAAAGGTAGAAAAAGTTTATAAAACGGTGTCAAAAATATTGAGGCTTTCTAATCTGTCCGTCGAAGATTCAAGATAGCACTGATAGCCAAGAGGCACTGACTCATTGTTAATATACTATTCCTCGATACAATCTAAGGTCTTCTGATGACAAACTGTTACTTCAGCATCCCAAAATAAGAACTCTCGCTACTCTTGGTGACTGTTTACTTACCGCCTCGTCACCTAAGATATGGAACGACCGGTGGTTATCCGCCAAGCCATTAATGTTGCCGCTTTTAAACAACTCCTGAAACCCCATCTATTTAGGAAAGCGTATTGCTGCTAGTAGTTTATTCCCATTTTATTGCTTAGAGGAATCTGATACCCAGTTCTTAGTTTCCTTATTTTTTCTGTAAACTATTATTTGCAAATTCATGCACATGTAATATTCATCTTTTTATTTATATATGTATATTTCATATATAAAACACTACGTTTTATGGTGATCATTCTAATCATCGTTAGTGGAGGAGACTGGTTAGGAAAGCCGGCAAACATCAAAGTTGAAAACAACGGCGCCGTAAGTCATGTTGGAAGCTCCCTAACCGTGCACAAGCCCCGGCACAAATTGTGACTGGTTAAATTAATGCGATGTTTCTATTGGTCAGTAAGTTTAAAATGATAGGAATGTTATTGAACGTTGTGCACGGTCAGGCCCAAAAAAGCCAACAAAAACATATAACAAAGGGTTTCCCAACCATTCCACTTTAATTAACTATGCTTTGATATCTCTGCTTACTGGAAGTTTCATTTTATCATTTTATCTTTATTTTCAATTCTATTTTAATTATTTTTCAAGACTACCTTTTCGTATAATGCGAGCTTATGGGTCAACAAAATAGCGCATAATCAAGATTCTGGTAAATATGGGCTAGATAACCAAGAGGCGAAGATGCCAAGTTTCTGGAACAATCCGTTCACCAAACTTTGTATTGGAATGCGAGTTTTAGGAGAGCAAATAACTTGGATACTTGTTAATCAAGAAGCAGTTTCCCTCCACGCACTTCTGTCAAACAACAGCTACATACCAACAAGAGTCGGAAGAGTTGCATGGAAATCACTTGTGCGTGGATCCTCGCTTCAAAAGAACTGCAATATGGAGGGTTTTAACGTAGTTTCGCCTTCTGGAACAAGGGACCCTGCTATCACCAGGATTGGCATCATAAGCAACAATGAACAGGATTGCAGTTCGTGCAATTCAAGGATTGGATTCGGTTCTGCAGGGAGCAGGGGAGATCAAGATGGATCAAACTCCTGTGGAAATGAGGCAGGAACATACCTTGCTGACAATGGAGAAAAGCACATCAAAGCAACTTGTTACATACTCGTTCAGTAAATCAATAGATTCACTCAGTGTCTTCAGTGAAATACTCGGTTAAAATCTGATAACTACTCAAAATGCTCGCGAAACATGCAGTACATCGATTCTGTTGTTCAGTCTAGGATAACGAAAGCACCATATTCACCCTCTGGAAAAAATAAATTAAATGGGCCATGTACAGAGACAAGGCTGTCGATAGACTTTGAACCCGGCTTTCTGCACGATTATGCAACACGCTCGCTCCTGTAACTGATTACATCGTGCTGTTAAGTCTGGTACACAAAATTATACACGGAATTATTTGACTTAAAATAGTAGTAATAAAAACAAGGTTCTGCAATATTTTCTTGTGTGCAGATAATGTTTGTTTGTCGTCGATATATCCCCACAACAAAGAAGTCCCTGTCACCTTTTCCTATGTTTGTATGTACTGAATTTATTTTTGATACGTAACAAGCCACTGCAATAACCGCGCTGAGAATAATGGGATGATTGGACATGCAGCAAAGTTCATATTGTAATCCTAATTCTAATTTAAGGCCATTGGTCGTCTGCTTAGCTAAATAAAAATCGATATCACTAGGAGAAAGGTTTAGCACAGATGATCATTGCGCCGCTATTTGTGCGGGAGGCCCTGAGTTCGATTCCCAGGTGTGACCTCAGATCCTTGTTTCGACTTTCCCTCTTGCTTAAAGTAAAAAGGAGCTCTGATGGGGAGAGGGGGTAAAATGAGCGCACTTCTGTCGGGCTCAGGTTTGTCACTTGAAGGACACTGTACTGTTACGAGCGAGATACCGATGTAAAATAAGTTCTTTTACCTTATACATGGAGCGCTTACCATTTGTACAGAAGCTGCGGTGAAAAATTTCCGTCAAATGGTACTGGTATTTTTTGGCATCGAAAACAGGAAGGGGATTGAGCCTAGCACTGGTAATGCAAACAAATGGTACAGGGGTGGATCCAGGATTTCTTTTAGGAGGGGGTGCACTCGTCTCTTGCTCCACTTCAACACCAATAAACCACATAGTTTTTTTTTTTTGGCAGAAGACCAGTTGTATTAGAAAACCGCAGGTCATCTCGGGGGGGGGGGGTGGGCACCCCCTGCACCCCCCCCCTAGATCCGCCCCTGGGGGACAGAAAATTTAAGTCGGTTCGGTAAAAACGGGAAAAAGGTAATACCTCGAAAGGCATTGCACATTTTACGGGGTCGGCCGGAGATTATGACAAGGCTGCTTAGCAGTGGGAAGTAAACCCCTCCGGTGAATTCCTGGGGCTGGCCCAGGGGGGATAAACTCCAAATGATATTATCGGCTTATTT